TTTTGACAAGTGAACATCAATGTTTATGTTCATATCCTAAAGAGAAGTCCTCCTCAGGCAGCTACTGTAACATAAAGGTATAGGTCTTAGGAGTCTGAGATATATTGAATTGACATTCAATAGAGCTCATAATAGTGAACTAATCCAATCATGAGAGTGTCAGCATCACTTCCTAATTATTTAAGATTAAAAAAAAAAAAAAAAAATCCGTCATTATTAGTATTATTTTATGTGTACGTTTTAAATAAACAGAGAACATACGTCCATCCTTTGGCAAGAGTAGTAGTCACAATCTCAACCTGTAGCTATATGTATTTGGGCAGATGTAATATTCGTAAACTTGTTTCCACGAGAACCCAAAGAACCCATTTGGGGCACATGCTTCTGAAATGTTATGACCATGTTAAGAGTATAAAACCCCCACAATTTTTCACTTTTTAGACATATTACTTTTGTGATTAGTAATTAATTGGTTATTATTTCTTAGTTCACAAGTAGTTCTCAATGAGGATAAATTCTTTAGTAATAATCAAATACCTACCAAGGAACTACCTTTGTACTAAATTACCTATTACCTAATGCTTAGTTAATATTGCTTCCATATTAGTTAATAGTATTAACTTGGGTGTTAATGCAGTACTATTACTTCCCGTATAGCTACTTGTTAATTACGGACCATTATTTTTAAAGTGTTACCCAGAATCTTAGAAAAAAGGATCACAAACAGACCAACCAACTTAAAGGTGCATTGAGCATACATGCATGCTTAAACAATCGCCTGATGAGCTGAATGAGCCCTTCTCTGATCACTGCGATCGCCTCTATAATCCTGTACAGTAGGTGGATTCGGGATGGAGTTTGAGACTGGGCGTGACGTCATGCGCGTTCATGCTCACCTGGCTATGTCTGGCAGGTTTGTATATTCGCCACCATGCTCCGTTTCAGCAAAGACAACACGAGCAACAAAACTTTAGTCAACCTTCGACAAAAGTAGAAAATGGATTCAAAGAGACTGGTTTGTAGTTCAGTCCAAACCCAAACGCAAACTCCACGTAAGACAAAGAAAATAAAACTTTTGTCTAGTGCCAGGCGTCGGAATATGACAAGAGTCAACATCGGGAAGGCTTTCAACAAATGGAGAGCGGTCTGCTCTAGGGCTCAAACGGGATACAAAGTAATAACTTATATTATTCATGAACGTGTTTCCATAATTATACAATCATAAGTGGATACAGTAAACAAATAAAACAGTTCAACATGGAGATAGATGGACACAAAAACCGAAATTTTCTACTACCCCCGTTTCCCCTCACACATAAGTGTGTAAATTACTCAAATTCCTTTCCTTTAATATATATTTAAATGACTTGCAGAATTATAACCTCTGAAGACATTATGACTGTAACAAAAGATTTGTGCGGTTGATGCTCGTTTGGTAATGAACAGCTCGTGTGGTCCATGAGCCTCTGGTTGCAATTTCGCTTGTCGCCAGATGGGGCATAGTTTTGCAAAAACTCAGAGTCTTGCGCAATGCACCTTAACATAACGTAGAACTGACAATGATCTGAAAGACAAAGAGTTTAAACACACAGCAAACAGAGGAAATAATGAGACATAATTAACGAGACACATCTGAACAGAACTTAATCAGTCACCATAGAGACAAACAGGGAGAGAATGGAAGACAATTAACAATTTGACAGAAAAACACTAGAACTGTAAAACAATTTTTTTTTCATCTGATATTCTTACGCCCCAGTGATGTGTTCTTCATGCGATCTTCATGCTCTTCATGCTTATTTTTGTATAAAAATCCATACGAAATCCATACACCCCGTAAAATAGTTAAATTTTTTTCCATGAGGCTAGGTAGCAAAAGGCCTTAAAATCAAATAAAACAAGCTAGGTTTGAATGATATTGATCCTATAAATATACAGAGATAAAGAAATCTCAATGTATCATGACTCAGCAATAAATCACTGTTCAAAGAAATACTTCACCCAAAAATATGAAGATGAAAACATTTATAAACCCAAGTTCACAGAGCCCAATTCAACATCAATAACATCAAACGTAGTTCTTGTGTGTTGTGTGAGGTTATGACACCAACATCAATAAGCCAAGATTTTATTGATGTGTAGGTATATTTGATTTGGCATATTTGACTCTGTGTATACATGAACTGATCAATGATTGTAATTTTTTTGCGAATGAATAACCACTTAAATTTCTGGTCGTCATCAAAATTGATTGTTTTGCTTCAGGACATTTGGATTAAACCAAAAAGTTGTTTACCCTTCACGTCCTTTTTGGTGTTTTTGGACCCCACTGATTTTCCAGCTTCACATGGACAAAACCTACAGAGACATTCTTAATAAAGGATAAAATAAAGTCATGTAAAACGATAAGTAAATGGGTCAGGTATGGGTTAGGTGAAGTAATTCCTTTAACTGTTATGTCTCTAAATTCCATTTTTTCTAGTTAAAACGAACCAGAGTTTTTTGGTCCCACTTTATATTAAGTGGCTTTAAGTACTATGTACTTACATTGAACAATAAGTACATTGTATTATTGTGTTCCTGTTGTATTGTAAAACACTTTTGCTGCTATTGAGATGTGATACGGGTAAGGTAGGGACAGGTGTGGTGGTATGGGTCGGTTTAAGGGTAGGTTAAGGTGTGAGGGGAGGGTCAACTGTGTAATTACTAATGTAATTACATAAAGTAATTATGGCTGTAATTACATGCTGGAATTTTAAAATATAAGTACAATGTAAAAACATGTAAGTACACAATAAGTCCATTGTAACAAACTATTAATTTCAATGTAAGTACATAGTACTAAAAGCCACTTAATATAAAGTGGGACCAAATTCTTAATTTGCCATGACTCTTCAGGAACTCAATTTAATGTCATGCAGCAACCCAATCCAACAAACATATTTCGTGGAGATAGATGCATACACACATATCCACATTCTTTTGGTTTGGTTCGAAGGGGGGAGGGGGATACTTCCTTCCTTCCATAATGGAGGACATATACCTCTGCGACCGGTTCATCTTTGCCAGCTGTGCTACTGAGGTGCAGGAGATGATTACCACACAAATAAGCTCCAGTTCCCGAATCCCTCATCTCTGCTGGCAGCACGAGGAAAATAACGAAAGAAAGCGGAGCAACAAAGAGTCGGGAAGGAAGAGGGAGTAGAGGGTAAAGTGAGCAACAGAGAGTGAAATGAACAGACAGAGGGAATGGGAAACTGCAGGGAAAAGGGGAAGAGTAAGGCAGGGCAAAGGTTTAGGAACATTTCAATTACTGTGTAAACAGACAACAAAGGCCCGGGACACTAGAAACTATAAGAGTCTTTAGCCCCAAGGGAAACTCATTTCCCCCCCTCAACTCTACTCCTCAAAGAAATAATGTCAGAGACACACAGCAAACATTTGATGTTCCGTCTCGGCTGACAGACTTTTATTACATCTGAAATTATCTTCGAAAGCTTGGGAGTAATAAATTGCCCGTAGAGATTAAACGCAAGCAACTTTCCCAAAAGCAGAGGTCACTTTTAAGGTGTTCGTGGAGAAGTGTCTAGAGTATTTTTAATTTCACTTTAATTAATGTTGTAATTGCTTTTGTAATTGGTTGGAGATTTGGGTCACACACAGCTAATAGTTCACTGATTCTTCAGAAATTGGACAAAAACATGACCCACAACATTACATCCAATTAATTTTTAGAACGCCGTGTTTTCTACATTTTCACACTTGCAATATTTCATTAAAATGATGACATTACATGAGCACATTCCATCTGAAGCACCTCAAAGATTTCTGAGCGCTATACCGTGGAAAAGTTGGGGTCAGATCAGCAAGGATGCATTCAATTGTATCAAAAAGTGACAGTTAAGTCAATGTGTTGGCAAATATGTCCAAATATGTGTTTTCTTAAATAAATGCTGTTTTCATAATCATCAAAGAATCGTAGAAAAAAAGTAGTTTAAAAAAAACAAAACATTAAGCAGCAACTGTTTCAAAATTGATAATAACATCAGATTAAGTGCTACATATTTCCATAATTTCAGCAACATCCTAATTGGATATTACATTTAATGCAAGTGTGACAAGCAAAATTGTGTCAGTTCTATCTGTCAACACTCACATTTTCTGTAGCATCGATTATGTGACTCAAACAGCCATGATCCTCTTTTTAAGTCAAGCTGGAGAACATGATTATCAGGTGTTACAAACTTGTGGAGTTCCTGCAAATTAAGTGATGCTGTTATTAAAACGAAAGGGGACATACATACAATTTCTGACATTTTTCAATTAAGCTTTTTTATGCTGATAATATCATTTGTAATTAAAACAATTCAGGCCTATTAAATTAGGGGGGAAAAATGCAAAATTGAATAATTCTACTAGTCTTTAGGACATAAGAAACTTAAAATATTAATAAATATAGAAGATATACAGTATGGTAACTCTGTAAAGGGCATAGTCTACATTTCCAATTAAAAATCCAAAAGAAAAATAGGATGATGATATTCCAGTATTTTAAAGATATCACATGCATGATTGATTTAGTCTCTTTGTGAATATGAAACTGTTTTTCTTCCTCATATCTTAACAAACCACATTTTGAAATTGTAATTAATGCTTTATACTCACAGTGCTTTAAAGGGAACCCTCTTGTGAGAGTATATACTGTGAAGAAGGAATTCATTTTTAGTATGTTTTTTTTAATCTATTTATGCCTCTCAAACCTCAAACGGAACATAAAGACTATATGTAACACATAACCAAAGCAAGCGACTTACCATTTTAAGTTCTTTAACTTGAAGGGAATATAAGCACATCAATGTACTTTTTTTCAGGGCACATTCTCCAACAACAACAACAAAAAATAAATAAAAATAAAAATGGGAAAAAAAGAAAAGAAATGAATGCGCAAAAGGAGGGGCACAAGAGTTATGCTTTATGAATTGCTCAGTGTGAAAGTGTTAAGGCAGGAAGATGCACTCGTGGGGAAACCAGCATTCATGCTCCATCCCATTTAACAGCTGACTCGAGAGAGAGAACATCCAACCTGCCACCCCCGGAGAGAACAGATGGATCTAAATAAATTTCACTTTTAACTCCTGCGAAAAGCGGCTTCAGTTGAGCATTTTCGTCAGCCGTGCGTCAACTTCTATTGCGCGCGAGCGGGGATTTGTGAAGGGACGCGCACCTGCCTTCAACTGATATCGAGATAATTTAGACCTCTTCCGAAAGGATTGTTTTCCATTGCGGACAGTTGCTCGGAGGATTTCAAAGTGTTGTTCGGATACCAGAAGTGTAACTCATGTCAGGTAGTGCCCCTCTTTCCGAAATCTGTGTGATGGTGATGTTAACTTGAGAGCGCGGTTTGAAAACATCTCTGATTCTGAGTTGCAGGACACAAAGAGGATTTGAGAGGAGGAAACATGTATGGCTGAAGGATGAGGGCTCGGAGTGTTGGTCCTAGACCGCCTGACCTGATGCTCTTATGGGAGGGTCTCCGCTGGGGTTGTGTGCTCGTCTCTCTGGCTGTGTATGTGGGCTCCGTGGAGCCGCTCGGGTGGCTGCTGTCCGATAAAGGTCCTTTCCACCGCTCTCAGGAATTCATTGAGTTCACCGAGCGATACCAACACGGCTTCACAACCAGATACAAAATATACAGGTACGAGAGATCTGAAATACAGTAGCCTACTTTGAAAGAATGAATTCAGAGGTAACTCTCCTTTGGTTATGTGAAGTGTAGAAGCCAGGGTCAGACTCTGTTTGCTCTTTAAACCCCTCTTAGTGTTTATTTAACCCGGACTAGAGTGTTTCTGTACTGAATCCTTAATCATGAAGCATGACTGATTCGCCGTAAACTCGAGGATACAGGTAATAACTCGAATCTTTTTAATTCTGTTCACTAAAAAAGATTTGTATCTTCGTATCATATTCATTCAGCTCTACAAATAATTAATTATCATTGAGGACTTTAGTTGGTTTGTAGCAAAGTCCAAGTGATGTGGATGAACACAATAACTTTGTGTGAGGAACAGGGCAAAATCTCAGTTTTTTTTTTTTTACATTTATAATCATTCCGCAGTCAATTATTCAAAAAGACATATTATGTCACAAGGGGTCATAAGACGAGCATGATTGATTGAGCTTTTTGAGATTGATTGAGATTGAGCATGCCAATTGATTTTGATGTTACTGACATCAAATTCATTTGAAATCTGTCGTAACACTTCCTTTTGAATTTTAAAGTGCCTCTCTTTTGTGCTTTTTCAGATATTACCTTTTATATATTCTCGCTTAGCCAGACCTTCAGACGTGTGATAGAAGGACTGCAATTTCAGCTTTCATTGGTCAAGGACCGCCCAAGAGGGTGTTTGACTGACATGCAATGCAACCAATCACAGTTCATTTTTTCTGCATCATGTTTAGAGGCATAAAGTCGACAGACTGGTGTGCATTTAATAAATTATTCATTTTTCATTTCATTTTTCAAATTATTTATTATTCATTCATTTTCCCAAACACCTCCTTTGAGTGACGCTAATCTGCGGCGATTGGTCAAATGACCCAGTCAGTTGTTGGTAAACCATAGGCAGAGATTGTCAGCAACGGAACGCCCATAACCAGGAATATAGCTTGTCAAGTGTTGAAAATTGTATATAGTGTTTGAACAAACATGTCAGAAAAAGTGCACTTTCCACACGGTCCCTTACTCTTACTCCGTCAAGAGCTTGCTTTCCTGGCGAAACTCACATTGCGGCGGCTTTTGAGGGACAGTGCTTATTATATAGAGCGAAGTCATATTTGGCTAAGTCGTTTAGGAGGTAATTGCCATCAAAAACAAAACTAACTTTAGCCCGCTTAGAAGCTGCGCAGAGTGTACACAACACACACAACACAATATAACTATATTGTGCATGCTACAGAAAACATAACATAAAACATACTTACAGATTGTGATTTGGAGGAGGACGAACCTGATCCATACACTGGATACTGAGCCCTCCTTTGGGAACAACCGGCTTGCGAATCCACATTTGAATTCATTTATGTTTTTCAATGATTCGCCATTAAAATGATGAGAACACAAGGTTCGGGCTATACTGTTGTGGTATCGTTGCAAATATGAACTCTAACCACTGATTGTTCACATGCTCGTCCCTGGGCAATGAAAACAAGTGGCTGAACTGTCTTTGCAATGTAGAACACAGCGTCTTCTCGACATGACGCTATTCAGCTGAAGTTTTTGAATGTGTTCTAGATTAGACTTCAAGTTCACACTCTCCCGCCCACAGTTGTTGGGAGCGGCCAGTGAGCTAATGTTTTATATCTACGTCACGACGTAACAGCTAATGACTCGTTTCAAAAACAATTCATTTCATAGACTCAGAGTCGACTCTCACTTTTGAAAGACAATAACTTTATATACGGTGCACTTTCAGATATAAATCTTTGCAGGATGTTTTCATTCCCTTGGAGCGATATATTCCACACTACATGAACAGTCATTTTCAAAAATCCATGATAGGTGCTCTATAATAAATAGGCCTATGTGAATTACACTTAAACCTAAAAGTAATCCTACCCACTAGGCTAATCACAACATGGAGGTGGCGGCACGTGAACTGAAGCTCGTCTCATAAATGAACCGAAAGTCAGCATGCCTACTTGCCTCACAGATCTGAGAAATATATATATTGAAATGTCTACTTTTAAACGGAACCATTGAAAACGAATGAAAAAAGACTGCTCTCTGCTTATGTGGGCTAATCTGTATGAAAAGTGAATTTCTCTCTGGCACCTCTGTTCAATCTTTCTGATTTTAGAACATTTTTGTTAAAGTGCCTTTTTAATGATTTATTCCAAAAAACTTAAAAATAATTTGAGCTTCAGCCTGGTTAAATCGCATATATATATATATATATATATTAATGTATTTGGTCAAATTAAGCTATAAAATAAATAGTTTATCCCTTAAAATGCAATGGATTTTGAAAGATATCAACAACGAGAAAAAAAAATGGGCAAAAAAACTTTAAACGAGATTTTCTCAGGTTTCTCAGGATCTTTACAACCATTCAAGGTATGACTTTGACTAAGATATCATTTGAAAGCTTATGGTGTCCTCTTTCCATTGATGCCAAAATCTAAATTTTTAAATATGGGTCACTGTGACTCATTTCGCTGGATCAGGTCACAAATCGTTCTTCTTCGCACTGCAAGAGAAAGTGTGCCTCCCTTGCCTCACCAGACAAGCCTCCACTGGTAATTAGAGCCAGACCGATATATCGGCAGGACGATATTATCTGCCGATATTAGGCATTTTCTAAAATATCGGTATCGGCAGTTATAAATGGCCGATAAATGAATATTTCAAAAATAAAATAAAAACGCACAAATCACGTTTCAACCATGTCATGAGTGTTGTATAGTTTGTCCACCAGAGGGCACTCTACACGTCCCTGTTGGCAACACTCGTGTATAACGCGCCACACATCCTGCAACCTGCTGATCCAGGTTGAGTCGGGCAGAGAGAACCAGTTATGCATTATCATATTATTTTAGTTAAAACTCATAATTAACTACAAATAACTAATGTTAGGGAAATCTGTTATTATTTTTTTGTCGCGTTTCTGAAATAAATAAAAAAATAATAATAATATCGGCCGATATATCGGAATATCGGATTTTAAAACCACCAAATATCTGTATTGGTACCGGCCTTCAAAATCCTATATCGGTCGGGCTCTACTGGTAATCAATTACTGTGGAAACTTCCGGAGCTGAAATTCAGATATGGTAATGGTTTAGTTTCCGACAAGCGCTGTAAGCCATAGACCAATCACAACAGACTGGGCCATCTGACCAATCAGAACAGAGAAGACTCTCAGAAAGTAAAGGTTTAGAAAACCCAAATCCTTTATTGAATTGTTTCAGATACATTGAGTAAAGAGGTGATGCTGCAATACCATGAGAAAATTAAAGTGTTTTTTGACATTGGGGGCTTGTAAACCCATTTATTGCAAGAGACCTTTAAAACAAAATCAGTAACTTTTAAAATAGCATAATAGGGGCACTTTAAATCTGGGAAAAGTGAGTGTTACATTTACATTTATTCATGTAGCATTTCACCTTCTGGAGTGTTATGCCAGAAGGTGAAATTATCAGTTTAATGATCCAATTCATCACAATTACTGTCTGTTCCTCGAACAAAGCTTTTATACAAGTTCAGAACAAATGGCACAAATAGAATAGACTACGTTTCTAATACTTTCATGTTGATTTTTGACATTGTGGTTTTTAATAAACCACAGCTCGGAGATTAAAAAATATCTGTGTTAACTAACATTAACAATGAGAAATACATTTGATATATTTATTCATTTTTTAACATTAGTTGGTAAAAAAAAACACAACTGTTCATTGTAGTTAATGCTAGCTCAGGTATGTTAAATAATAACATATTTGCAAATGTTTAAAATAACATCTAAAAGTAATCCATGCTTTAGAAGTATTTATGTTTATGTTAGCTAATGCAGTAACTAATGTTAAGAAATGAAACCTTTTGTAAAGTGTTGCCTTGTAAATGACATGATTTTCCTTCATCTCTAGTAATTTGACAAGTTCCAGTGTGACATTTTGGTACTGCTGGATTTAAAGTGGCTGTTTCCTTATGAAAGTGTTCTGTTGATGAAATCTGTACAAATACATTTTCGGTTGAGTGTTTTCGTTCTAAAAACACTAAATATATTATTAATTCGTGGTTAAGTAACTGGGATTTGCTCTCCCCCTCACCAAACCACGCAGGATATTCTGGCCAAAAACTGCCCACTTAAACAAGAACCGTCTAACTGACATGTAAAACAACCGACCACAAATTACCTTTTTACAAGTTGTTTAGAGGCAGGTTTATCGGAAAAGTGTGTAGACTTTACAATCCTAAATTCTAATACATGATAATTGAATGTAATTATGAAATTTACAAATCTGCTGAGCGATTTTTTTCTGCTTTTATAATGCCTCAAACAAATGTCTGAGTATTTTTCAAAAGACTTGATGCCACAGCCTCGCAAACTCTAATAAATGCAGTGATAAGTTCTTCCTCAAAAGTGCTCCTGTCAGAAACCCTGTACCTTGCAAGCATGACTTTCAACTGTGTATAGCCATGTGACCAATCAGAATTGAGCTTGCCTGATCGAGAAAGTGCTTTCTTTTTTTCTCTCTCGTGATACGAAAAACCATTCAGTGTTTGCTGATGTATATTTATTCTCATGGGCTCGGATATTAGCTTAAACTGAATTCAGACATAACCAAACAAATCATAATACAATCCTATAACATCCCAGCTGAATAAAAAAAAAAAAAAAAAACGTCAAGTGCCATAAACTCACCATAGCGCTCAGTAAATGCCATCTCCAAACAATAAGTAGTAATGAATAAACACCTCCACAGCTTTCATGAAGCCTTGCAGCAGAACCCTACATTATTATTAGCATCATTTTCCTTTTGATCTCATCTTCATTTGCACTGTTTTCTACTTCTGATTACAAAATAGCTTGTGGCTTTTGATTACATGTTGCCCTCAGGTCTGCACTGCAGGCTCTCAGAGAGCTCTCCAGTAAAGGAGCGTTTTGCCCTCTGGTTTGTCGGTGGTGATCAGTGGCTTAGGTGCTCAACGCAAGTGTTCATCAGGCACCTCATCTGATACTTACACCATCCCTCGTCGGGCTGATTGGTGATAATGACGTCCTCCATTCCCTTCATGATTGTTCTCTGGATAGGGCTCTTCATGTGAGTGATTGGATTGGATCCCATGAGTTTTAAACTCTGTCACTAGTGAAGAAGGCTGTGGTTTAATTGCTAATCTCCAAAGAGAGATTTCTTCAACCAAGGTTGGGGAACCTCTCGTGTTTTCTCCGGTGGGGAGACTAATAACCTTGTAATAGAGATAGGGAATGAGGGAAATAAGACGAGAGAATAATAAATATTGATCTAATGGTGTGGTCTTGTGGAACCTGAGAAGAAGAGCATGTTGTTTTGCTTGCTATGCAATTTGTTCACTGCTTGGATAACAGTGACTTAATTTGTATATAAATCATGAGATATATTCCCTTGAGGCAAAACTTACTGGATACAAATCTAATTTGCTGTTATTTGACACACTGATATTAAATTATATTTTTTACAATACAGTATGTGATCCATGAAAAGACTCACAGATTGAGATACTGTTCAAATGTTTGGGGTCAGTAAGGTCTCTTATGCTCTGCAAAATGAGTACAGTATACTCAGAATACAAACAGAAATTACAATGTAAAATAACTGTTTTCTATTTGAATATATTTTCAAATATAATTTATTCCTGTGATGCATTACTTCAGTGTCACATGATCCTTCAGAAATCATTCTAATATAATGATTTGCTGCTCTCTGATTTTTATCAATGTTGAAAACGTCTCAGGTTACGTATGTAACCCTGGTTCCCTGATAGGGAACGAGACGCTGCGACTTTGTCAAACTTATTCAACAATAAATAGACAAGGACAGATTCACATAGAGCGCTTGCTGAAGATGCAGAAGCTGTTGCGGTCTGGGCCTGGGGTGTGTTATAGTTTTTTGGTCTATGACATCACCTATAACGTTTCGGGCTTCCATTGGACTGTTTTTACATGTGCTTCATGACGTAATCACGCAGAGCCACCGCGTCTCAAACGCAGCTCGAAGTTCCCTTGAAAGGGAACTACTTAACAGTTTTGTGAAAGTTGTGTTCAAGATTCTTTGATGGGCAGAAAGTTCAGAAAAACAGCATTTATAGGAAAAAATATAAATCTTTTGTAACATGTTTTTAGTGTCATGTTTGATCACTTTAATGCATCCTTGATATATATATATATATATATATATATTTACACACATTCACAGGCTACAAGTTTATACAAAAAGTTATATTTCTTAAAACTACTAAACCCTTGCCTTTTTTAGGATCTTGCTTATGCTGAATTGCTTTATATTTTGTCAAGTATGAATTGAGTCTACATGTAAATGCCTTTCGTCAAATTTCCCAACTTTGAATGGCATTTATCTACCAGTGGGGGCAAATGCTAACAAAACTTGACCCCTTTCATCCCAAATATGGTAACACTTTACTTGACATGACATACATGACATATCTTTTGAATATGATGGAAGTTTTATGCATGTTTATGACAACTGTCATTAAGTATCATTCGAATGTCATTCCAATACATCATAACCTGTCAGTGTCTTTGTCATGACAACTTGACATTACTACGACAACATAACCTGTCATAAACATGACATAGCAGATTAATTATCAAATTTAAGAAACCACCTAGCTTTATTGGTTAACATTACATTAAACTGCCTGTGGTTGGTTTTGACATTGGCTGTCATGAAGCCATTACAACTTTTTAATGACAAATTCAATTAGTACCACTGTAGTTGAGGTCACGAAAAATATTCATGACACAGTTTAAAATGGCCTCATGACAGCTAATGTCAAAGCCAACCACATGACAGTTTAACTTCATCAAGTTGTCATGACAAAGACAATGACAGGTTATGATGTTATGGTTTATGTCAAGATGTCATAACGAAGACATCTTAAACAACGTCACATTTGCATTCAAAATGTCATTATTGAGTGAAAGACACTTAATGACAGTTGTCATAAACATGCATAAACCTTACTTCATATTCAAGACATATGGCATGTCATGGTCATGAAGGTATCATGTCAGTCTTATGCACACCCCTTCAAGTAAAATGATGTTCCTATGAGGCAAAAAGTGTCGGGTTACTTGACTGAAAAGGGGGAACGAGATTCTGCGGGAAAGCGCATTGGAAATCATCTTTGTTTGACCGGTCGTGAACACGTGTGGCATCATCAGAGGTTATTTAAGCCAAATTCTTGGTCTCTTTGTCGCACGTGTTCACAACCAGTCAAAAAAAGTTTGTTTTTCTAAAGCGCTTTGAGAGTAGCTTTTGAATGGAAACACACTCTGTGTGAAATTCTTTACTGCATCTCTTTCAGATCAAATGTCACAAAGTTGAAATGTGATGCTTTAAATGAGTGTGTCATTTCCACACACAGAGAAAGTTAAGAAATATTTCACCCCAAAAAAGAAAAAGTTGAACAATCTCTCTCAATTTTTGCTAAAGCTTTTAGGGAGACATGAGTGGGATGCTTTGTTTGAAGATCTACCATCTGAATGTTAGCTTCAGGGAACGCTACAAATTTTGTCTGACCGGATTAAAATAGAATATTAGATGACTAAACTTTGAAAACAGAGCTCTCTTGCTGCGTGATAATAGATGCCAGGTTATTTAAATGGAATAAAAGTAGATTCAGTTCTCCATCCAACTCCTATTTCATAGTTTAGTGGGTGTACAGTTTGCATTTTAGTTGACATCCTTTAGTCGAGGAAGCGATCCCGTGTGAGGGCGTAATCAGATAATGGTTCCGAAAAGAAATTAACCAACATTATAACACACTGTGCCGCCTCTGTATTTAGTTAGAGCAGTTGAACAAGTACAGCTTTACCTTGAACAACAAGAAGGATCGTTCAAGGTACTAACATGCACAATTTCGCAATGCAGAGGCACCAAACAGAATTTAAAGGAGGATCTTAAGGGATTACATCCTCAGTGCGTTGTAAAAAATGTGTTCAGATTGTACACCTGGCTCCCAACAGAGGCTCTTCAAGCCTTAAACAATGAAATACCACCTACCGTCATGCCTTCACTGTTGAGCCCAAAAGAGCTTTATGGGATAGAAATAGAGCAAAAAACAGATGAGGAGGAGAGCCAGATTAAGAGGGTGACATGAATGTGACTGTAATGACTAATGTGAGGGATGTGCAGATTACTTGTGCTACGATATCGGCTCACACTACATCTCACGTGAATGATTATGTACTCACAGGGAGTTTGGCCGATGGAAGGTCAACAGCCTTGCTGCGGAGAGACAAGAAGGCAATGGGGTGGCCGTGCCCTTTGACCCCGACTTTATCCATAACATTAGACTTCTGGGGAGAAGGCCAAGCCTGCAGAAAATTACTGACACCATCATTAAGAAATACGGGACTCATTTCCTGCTCTCTGCCACTCTGGGAGGTAAGAAAACTCAATTATGTGTTAGCTAGTTATTATCCCTGCGAAATAGATTTTCATCCTTTTCTTGTGCTTGAGTTTGCAAGGTCATCTTTATTTAGTCTCAGTAGAGGTTGACATGACACATGCATTATTGAACACTGGGGTTAGTGTTGTCTAATGAATGTGACACTCATAACTCAAGATCCTGAATTAATGCAATAGGTCAGACAACTCAAAATTCACCCTATTTTTCTTTTTTAATTAATATTAAAGCACAATTCCTGATTCATCAGTGCAGGCTGTTCCTAAGAAAAATACTTTGCAATTTTGCTAAATCATTTCTCTGCCTCTGAAATGACTTTCGTTTTTGGATAATGTCACCTTGGCTAGTGGTTTTCAACCACAATAGGTTGAGAACATCTGACAAAGCATATTAGTTATAGCCACAGGTAATTCAGCCATTCTAAAATGCGCAACATAATACATTTTAATGCAATGTACTAGAAGTTACATCTATAATAATCATAAATACTCCCTTTACACCTGGCAGTACAATGTTTCTTACTGTATCATTTTCATCATTTTAACCCTTGTGCATCAATTAAAAAAAGTTACACATAGGTAAATGGAGGACAAAAATGTCCGTGTCAAAAAACTGTCATAAAAATGTGACACTTCGGAGCACAGACTTAAGTGTGGTATCATTTTAAAGAAGACCCTTTGCAGAACATTGCTGAAGTAAAAAAATAATAATAAGTAAATCCCCCCAAAAAATTATATAGGTATAAGTTTATGAAAATTATTTATAAAAATTAATTTATATAAAATATATATTTTATAAATCAGGTTGACCTCAAAACTGCAATAAAATCAAAGCCATGACTCTAAATAGGTTGTGTTCTAAATTTGAGGATGATATCTCAAAAAATGAGCTTTCGGTAACACTTTGTTTGGGCATAGTAACATATTTTCCCCATTGGGTGCCAGCAAAACCCCACTGGTGCTCACAGTGATTGGATTTAGTATTACAAACACACATATGCGCACACACACCCACACACATATTTTTTTAGAACACTACTAACCACACTCTGACATTCATACCAACACACCCACACAAATATCGTTGTATAATTTATCCAGTTGGCTCTATAATATGTCGAAGCAGTAAACAGGAAATAAAGTGATATTTGTTTTATAGGCAGGCCAAACTTAAAAAAATGGCACCATCTGATAAAAAATAGTAAAAAATACATTTTTGAAGCCTTGCCAACAGAATGAAAGCCTCTTAACAAAGATTGCATAATTTTATAGTTAACTGAACTGGGGATTAAAAATTGCAGTTTTAATGGGTTTCAATGGGGACATTTTTGTCCAAAAGGCGCAGAGAGGGAGTATTTTTTTGTACCTAATGCAAAAAATATTTTTTTAAGAAAATGACGGTGAAATACTAAAATTCCAATAAAAATACACACCTGTGCCAATTTTTTTGCAGTTAGTTTTAACAAAGGCAAAGTGGTACAAAAAAAACAAAACAAAAAAAAACTGAAAAGGACAAAAATCCACAAGGATGCACAAGGGTTAAACAGTAAGTTTGATGTTAGGGGTTTGAAGTGAAGAAAAGGAGATTACAGGTGTAATTTGGTGAAATAATTCAATAAATAATTGAAAATTGTTGGTTAAATTAAGTGAGAGAAAGACCTCAGTGCTTGAATGTGAAAATGATTTAGGATTTTTTTCCATGACCTCATCACATACTACTTTCATCTCTGCATGAGGATAATGAAAATGCATTTGCGTTTATACCTTCATTTTCAGTAAATGAATCTATCCCAGAAGATCTCCAAATGCGTTCACAATGATCCAATTACAATCCGTCTTTCATCTGGCTTCTGGATGTGAATATGGATAAGCCTGCTGATTGTGATTCAATCACAGAAAATGCATATTAATGCAAGGTAATCATAGATTTGACCAAAAAAAAAAAAAAAGACTCTTGACCAGTGGTGGACGAAGTACTCAAATTGAATAAAAGTCTAATCGGATCGCCATTTATATAATTCATATATTGAATGTTTTCTGTTCTGATGTACAAAAATACATTATTACCAAAGTAAAATCTATTTCCCGAGGCAAGATGAAGAGTTTTGAAAGGTACATCCCTGTTTGTTTAGCTGGTGTTTATCCCTCTCCCAACTCATCTTCAATTGTAGATATACTGCAGAGTAGTAATCCTTCAGTTCTGCAAAGTCTTTTATAACTTGCCTACCGAGAGATTGTTTACAGTACACACCTCTTCAAAAGAGACATTCTCATTCGTCAATATCTCTCTCAAATAAAACCGCATTTATACCATGACTGAGGCTGAAAGTGGGGATCCATTGAAGGTCTGGCTAATGCTCCACGGGACACCTTTTGACTCCACCATTTTTTCTTAGGCGTTTATTCTCTCCAAACAAACCCACCAGCTGAGTCAATTGATTTTCATTGGATCCCTCTCAGAGATGAAGGATACTCTCATCTGCACCATGCGTGTAATGAGAGCTGACGCATCAGATGGGGAAGAGCTCCATGCCTTTGTGGGCCCCCGATGGGCCGAGGCGAGTCGAGCTCATGCTGTAGATGATTAGGGTTGATTAGCTTCTCCAGCTGAGATGATCATTTCTGTCTGCTGGCTTTTGATCAGGCGAGGAGTCCTTGACCATTTTCGTGGACAAAAGCAAGCTTAGCAGAGGTCAGCAGAATGGTGGTGCCTCCAACGCTACATCTGGTTCGCTGACCCTCGAAGCCCTCCACCAACTGGCTGCATCCTATTTCATCGACAGAGACAGCACACTCCGGAAGCTCCATCACCTCCAGATCGCCTGCACCGCTATTAAGGTACGACCCCCATGGAACTGACCAGGGTTTGAACTGTGATGGTGTTACAGATTTTCGGGAAACGAACCCAATCGCAGAAGTTTGCAGACACACATGGTTTATTGATAACAAATAATGAAAACGAAACCCCCCGAGGGGGGAAAAACAGCACGGGCAAAGCAAAAGACTACCAACGCTAGACTAAGACTAAGACACAAACTTCACAGGAACAAAATAACTATTTCAAGAAAACGTCTTTGGTTAGGGGGGCTTTTACACTGGGCTGGTTTATTTATTTTATTTATTTATTTAGTACAGGGACAGTGCATATTCATAAATATTTCTGTCAATATGCCAGAATTAGCCTAAGGCTGTGTGTCCACCAAAGCGTTTTTCCACGCGCCTGGCGTATGTTTTCAATTGTTTTCAATGGGAGCGCCGCGTTTTTTAAACGCCATGAGCGTACCGAGGCGCTGAGCGTTTTTTTAACGCTGAAGCGCAGAGCGCCCAGCGTTTTTACTGGTCGCTGGGAGTTGAAAAATGTTCAACTTTGGATAAAACGCAGCGCTCATCACTGTCACATTTTACCCAGCCGTCCAATCACAGTGGAGGAGGGGCGGGACTAAACCACACCGACCAATTGTCACAACATTCAAACTGCTGCGGATATTCTGTATCATACCAACGAAACGTCTCAACAGAAAAAACGCTGCGCTGCCAAAACGCTCTCAAGCGCCCAAAGCACGGCGTCTTCAGCAGAGCATCTAGCGTTTTCAGCTGGCTAAAAACGCTTTGGTGGACACACGGCCTAAAGGCTATTTTTCGTCTGCAGTCCCTAGACAGTTGGTAAGAGTCACCCTAAAAAAAGATTACATAGTACATAGCACTAAAAAAATTAAAATACATTTAGTAAAATATCTATTATGTTAGAATATATAATCTAAACACATCAAAACAACAATCGGACAAACATCACGTAAAAACATGACAAACACATAAGACGTTCATGACGAACACACAAAACGTTGAACACGTTTGCTGCGGTTTGAGCCGGAGCGTGTTTGTTCCCGGCGCCCACCGCAGCGTTGGTCTGGTTTCACACTCAACTTGATTCTATCGAGCCCTGGTGCATTTGCGTGCATCTTACGTCATCACAAACGTGCAAACGCAAATGCGCGAAATATTGTGTTTTTTTGACAATCAATCACAATGAACCATCCCAAGGCTGCAAACACAAGGGGATAATATAGGGAGAACAGATAATGACACAGATCAGGCAATGAAGACAAGATGGGGATAACAAGGGGGCGGGGTGAGAGAACGAGACAACACAAGCAGACAGCCCAAACACAAGGCCATGTGCCTGCACACAAAACCATGGGTCTGTCATGATCCTGCCAGGAAATGATAAGAGGGCAGAATCATGACAGATGGCTCTCGATCAGGGCTAAAAAAAAACGCAAAAATCAATTATGTAGGGCTGGGGCGATACATTAGCCATATTATTTTTATATCTTTGCTGAAATGATTTGCTGAAAAAATAATATGGGACTATATTATGGCTTTCAAACGCCGAAAGCAAAACCCACTTTGCTTTTGGTGAGCCAAATTGTGTTTGAAGACAGGCGCCTATTAGCTGTGACGGTCGTGAGATGAAAAAGGAGAGTGAAATTGGCTTCCCGTCTTTATACAGTAAGCAAAACTTTTAAGATTATTTATGGGTCCAGGGGAGGTTTCAAACCTGTATTTTTGATTCGGATCAATCTGAAAAGTCTTAAAAAGACTTTAGCTTCACAGGTGCGGAATCTTGGTGTAATTTTTGATCCACAGTTAAGATTTGAAGCACATATAAAACACATCTCTAAAACTGCTTTTTACCATCTGAGAAACGCTGCTCGACTCGGACCTTTTCTCTCTTTTGCAGACTCAGAGAGTCTTATACATTTATTTATTATAGCTAGGCTAGATTATTGTAATGCCTTGTTCTCTGGCATTCCAGCTAAATTTCTGAGCAGACTACAGTACACACAACATTCTGCCATCTTTCTAAACCTTTCTCTTTCTAAAAGTATTGCATTACTTGTTACTAATTACTTCCTAAATCCCATCAACCTCAGCCAGTTGAACAATACCAGTTGAACAAAATGATAGACATGAATCAGTCTTTTCATTCTTTTGCATAAACAATATAAAATTGTATAGATTATACTTGAACTGACCAAAATATTTAAAGGGATAGACAGTTACATTAATATATATGTTTTAACATTAGACATAAAGTGTTGGAGTTAAATCCACTATTGTTCTATATAGAATTATTCAATAGTCTATACAGTATTTAATGCACTACATCAGTAATTCAATTACAGAAAAATTAAGATTAATCACTTACTTTACCTTTTCAAGGGAAAAGTAATTAAATTACAGTAGTAAGTAATGAGTTACACCCAACACTGTATGTTACAGTTTTTTCCTGGTGATGCAAGTTTCATTATGGTACTACATGTAGAGTAAATATACATTTCTGTAAAAGTGCTGCAGTAGTAGAGAGAATACAGACATACAGTAGTGGAATCATTGAACAAAGTGTGTCATATATTGATGCAAACCAAAAATATGTAATATTATGCTACATTCATGATATTGTAGTCGAATTGAAGGATATTGTAGTCGAATTGAAGGATATTGTAGTCGAATTGGTTCATTGTCCACGCTTATTGGAGACATTGAATTGGAGACAATGAATCTTATCTTGAAACTTTCATGATTTACTGTAAACCTGGAAGATTATGTGTCTGTTTCCATATGCATTAAGAGTACTGCAACAGTTACTTATCATTTTGAGCAGTTGTATCAATTGATAGTTAGATTATTGTAAGGAAATGAATAGACACTCATTTGAAATGTAATGTGTGAATTGCCTTTTGAAATAGTAGTACTTTGATGTTAGTTGTGTCATATTGAACAGATGATTTATGTTGAATGATCTAAGTTGTATGTGAAGAGCTCTTTTCCAAAACGCTATAAATCCATTTCAATAGTTTTCAGGAAAACTACATTTTTTACCTAGACCCACACATTTTGTGAATATTCAAATTATCCTGTTTAAATGTTTTATTGGTTCAGTCTGAACATTTTGAACAATAATTATTAAATCAAACAACAATATTGTTAATGATAATTTAAAAGTTAATTTTATTTTTTTCCAAAACGCTATAAATCCATCCATTTTTTGTATCATTTTTAGTAAAGTCATTTTTAGTAAAGAGTCAAACCTCAAACAAATAGTACCAATTTCAACATATGCATGAAAAAAACGAATTATTAAAAATGATCAATATATGATAACGATATTCAAAAAAGGGATGGGCACCCCTCCAGCACATGCACACACACACAGGCTACATAACATGTGAGCAAAGCGGAGCAGCATGACGCTTAAAAACAAGTTTAAAAAAAACAAAAAACAAAATAAACATAAAATATACGTTTCACATTTGTTTTTAATAATATTACATTACTTATTTTTATTATTTCATCTATGTTGAGTAGGCTATGAAAAGGGAACCGCATGAGATGAGTAAGATAGGATCAAAATTCAAAAGCTGCCCAATATCGGAAAATATTTGGAGTGCGTCAGACATGATTTTGACCACTTATTAAGTTTTGTTTTGTAGAAAGCTTGTAAATTTCGTTTCATATAAATTGTATCTTCATTTTAATAAATGTTTCATCGACAAATTGACTGGATTAATACATTAGAAGTAAATATCAGACAATAGGCTATAAACACTGCGATGCTTGCCTCACACAGGCCTGAGAACTAAGCTACAGAAAGCTTTAAATATCTACTTTTAAACAAAACAATTAAAAACTAAAATTAATTGGCAACTCTCTGCGTATGTAGGCTAATTCGAAGTATGCGTTTCTATAGGCCTATGCGCGTTCACTGCGAAGATGGCGAGTAAGCATCATCAACTTTATCTTTGTTGCTGACACTGACAGAAAACACTAGTTTATTAATAAACAATTCAAATGTTTCATGCATAATCATTACTTTTTGCCGGTTCTTTGTGGCAAGCTTTATGCATACGTTGAAATGCGGAATAGGCAATTAAAAACGCTCATATGGTTTCTCTCCCATTTAATTAAATCAATATATGTGATTACTGATAATACAAATGGCTTAAATGATCTACTACTAGTCGACTAGAAAACTAGGACTCATTTTGAGGAATAAATGAACATAATAAACCTCTGTTCAGAGTGCCGCCGTGCTGGATTGTGTAGAGCGCTCATTGAATTTGAGGATTTATCGTGTTTAGGCTAAAAACAGGGCTGGCGCTTATCGCGGCTTGGAAAGAAACTGTATCTTGCAGTACATTTTAAACAAGGAAATATAGCGATTTGGCATGAAACGTTGATGGAGCAGTGAAAGGGTTCTGTCCACAGCAGAATGATACGACAAACTCATTTTTTTTAAAAAATGGCGTTTATCGCTTTTTGGAAAAGAGCTCTTCATGTGTATTGTATGCAAGCAATTGAGAAATGGGTTAAAGTTTTGAAAAATGTGCATTTTGATCATTGGTTGTGAGTTTTGTGTCTAGAGTTGACAATAAAAAATGACATCAAGGTTCTGAAAATAGAAACAAAGTGATTGTAAAAAAAACTGTAAAAACTTGACTGATCAGCGCTGTCAATAATTAAAGACGTAATTTCATTTTTAATGTGAAGAAGAGAACCTGCAGTGTCAGTCCAATTTTCTAATAACCTCACAAAACTGCATGTGCCGCACAGGGACATTTAGACCTTTCTGGCAGAACCAAGTTTGGACTTCACACACCCCACCCCCAAAAACAGCAGCCTCGAAATTGCTTCTTCTTCTTCTTCTTGTAGGGTCCCTTAACTCTTATAGGGGATTTAGGATCAGACATCTTAACGTCTTGCTTCATCCCATGTTTCTGGACTCAACTCTTTTGGTAATAAGTTCCTCTATGTTGTAGGTTAGTTCCCTTTCAGTC